GGTATTGCTGCTGCGCCGGCAGTGGTGATTCTCTGACTGTTCCACGGCGATTTCTCGCACAGCAGGGCCTCCACGGAGCGGGCCCGCTTCATCACCTCGTTGCCTCGCTTAAAGTGACGCGATCGATTACCCGAACCTGATCCTCCATTGGCGGTGACACCTGGCTGGGCTTCGTCGGAAGTCAAGGGCGGGTTGACAGCTGCTGATCCTCCATTGGCGCCCAGACTCACGGGTCGCTGCAGCTGGCTGTTGGGTTTCGGTGACGGTTTGGCCCCCAGTATGGGTGGCGGTGTGGATTTGGCACGCACTTGACTGGCCACTTCGGGCTCCTCCACGTCCACCTCGTCATCATCGCGATCCAGCAAAGTGTTCAGGCTGGTGGAGCGCTGGAGTCGCTGTTTGCTGCTCTGCTGGCGGGACTCGCGGAGGGCCAGGCTGAGGTAGCGGCAACGCAACTTGGATACAATTCCAGGTCCATAGCTCAGATCCTCACCGGTGTCCAGGGAGTCTGGTATGGGATTTGGGGTGTCCACATCGCCGCCTGTGCCTGGGCCGCTGCCAATTTTGCCCGCTAGGTGTCGGTGCTGGCCATTTTGTTTGGTTGTCTTCTTCATCTCTTGCATGGCGACCATTGTCGGTTTTACCGTTACCTTTGTGGGCGACAGTTGTTGCTGCTGTTGTTGTTGCTGCTGCTGAATTATGAACTTGTTGCTCTGCAATTTATCGGAAATACTCTTGGTCTTGCTGCAGCTCTTGTTGTTATCGATGGAATTTGTATTGGAAATGTTAGTGTTGGTGGTGGTGGTCTCTTTCGCTGAAGGCTTGCCCTCAGCAACGCTCTGTCCCGGTTTGCATTTCGTTTTCAAGTGATTTTGGTTTGGATTTTGATTTGCTGACGACGACGACGACGATGTTGCTGCTGCTCCAATTGTGCCAGTTTCAACTTCACCACACCGGCCGCTACTCACCATCACCACGACAGCCGGCTGTTCGCGTTCGCGTTCGCCGCTCTCTGTCTCTCTTTCTCTCTCCACGCTCTCGTCTAGAATCTCCCTCTCCGTCTCTTTCTCCTGACTTCTTGTGTTGAGTAGTAAACTCGATCGCTGCTTTGGTATTGGTGTTACTGTTACATTTGTTGTTGCTGCCGCATCGGGCGAAAGGGAGACGGCAACAACAGAGTGATGACCTCCAGTGGAATTGGAATTGGTATTGGAAATAGAAGATTTCTCAGACTTTTCCTCTGAACCGATCATATTTCTCTTTTGACTAGTGCTATTGATTGTCGCCGGTTCCGTGGAATCTGGTGGGGCGAAAAAAAAAAGAGTCGAAAAACAAAATGTTATAAAGATAAATAATAACTCGTTTTTTTTTTGTTCCCTCAGCCCGCCATCTGACAACTCTGCTCTCTGTTATCGATACCCGGACTATCGATAGGCGCGGCGGTCAATTCGAAAGTTTCCCGGTAATTGAAAACGTAACTGTTGGCAAAAACGAATTAAAAACACTTGTTACCATTACTCATGACTGGTTAAATGCCAGCTGAGCAATTGCAGATTGCATAAGTCACAATAAGTCTATCGAGTACAGTCAAATTATTTAATAAATGCATATTAATAAAGATAGTTCACTTATTATTCTAATTTTAAATATCTTTTGCCTTTCAAAAATGAGTTATTTTGTCTTTAGTTATATTAACAAGTATTTGATATAATATAAAATAATATTGTTTGGAACTTTAAATACCTTAATGAAAACTAATATCATCAATAACTATTTTAAATTTTCAAGGTATATGCAAGTCCTCTATTTAAAAATGTTAAATATTACTAAAAAGAATCGAGATTTTAAATATTTTCCAAATAGATCACCCAGATTCTACAAGATATACGAAATACAACCCCTATCTCTTAGCATAATTTGAAAATAACTTTAATTATTAAAACAAAAAGATTGTTGACAATACTATTAAGAAATACAAATTTAATAGTACACTTTTCCACAAATACTTGTCTTTTAAATTCCTCAAATTTCCATTTCAAGTGAAAGTATACCAGCTTGTCTAACCACCACTCACCTGCAATTGCACCTGGAGCGGTGGTGGCTTCCACAGCCAAAGCCCCACAACTGCCATCGGTGGGCGAGGCGATGGACGCCGCCTGGGTGCGGGCCACGTTCGTTTTCCGGCGCTGGATGAGGTCCTTCTTCCACTGCGGCATGTCCGGCAGGAAACCGGAAGTGGGCGACATCTCAGCTGCAGCTCCGGACCCAGATCCTGCAGGTCCAGCTCCTCCAGCTGCCGATCCTGCTGGCACATCCGTGAGTAAATGCAACGACGGCCGCTTCTGTGACTCCATTATCCCCGTCTGCAAGAGTCATTATTCGGGGCATTAGTCTATGTATCAGCTGTATCCGTATCCGTATCGGTAGAGTGGTGTCCCCTATATAGAATGCCACATTATCCAGCTCTACATCTCGACCCAAAGACCAAGTCTGGCGGACTGACTGGCCCGAAGCTGGTGCCAATTGCAAGTGCCCGCTGTCCAAGCTCCTCTACATGGCAAAGAATTGGGCATTGCCGACCCAAAAGATTGGCCAACCATGGAAATCATAGCCCACCAAATAAGCTACCTCAAGATTCTCTATTTATTCGACCAGCTTTTCAGAAGAATCAATTGAAGGAATTTCTGATTTAAGGGATAAAAATAATGCCCTCTTTAAATGATGAAACTACTTTCATATATACAAAATATTCTACGTTCTTAAGTTTGTATATTTCTAAATTGTCATTTTTAACTGTCAAAGGTGGAAAATTTGTAATCCCCTTTGACTGTTAAAAATGTTTTAGAAATATAGGAAACCATATTGTTTTAAATGTAATCACCAATGTGAGCCTAGTTTGAAAATGCTTGCAAATATTTCTTATCATAAAAACAAAATATATTTTTAAAGAACATTTCAGAGCAGCAATTATTTTATGTTTAAAATATATTTATAGTAACAAAAAAAATTTAAATTTAAAGCTGACGAATGCGATTTGTCAATATCGCAGACATTTAAGTTTAGTAAACATTTTTAAACAAAATGTCATACGACGTTTTTGTAAAACTCATAAACAAGGGTTGTAATCAGCTGTAAGAAGCAGAAATGTAAGTTATTTATATATTGAGGGATTGAGTAATTTATTATTTATAATAAAGCAAAAAATCAAAAAAATCTTGAGCAGTTGTAAAAGGATAGGAAGTGTAAAAACTAAATTGAGACCGAATAATATTAAAAATTAATAAAATTTAATTTTAAGTGAAAAGATGACAGTTCAACCTATTTATTTTCTAAGATTTTAGAATCTTTTAAAAAAGAACTTTTCAGTGGAAAACCCAGATAGTCTGAATGTTAGGTGATCCAAAATTCGTGGTGACGACGGCACTTAGAGTTTTATTTTTCTTAATTGGATTAACTGTTGTTTTTACAACCCGACAGCCAAACAAAACGCAAAACAAAGGTAAGAAGCGAAGAAACCCCAATATTTTTCCAGCATAAATATGCTAAACTGCCATAATGAGCGGAAAATGCGATAAAACCGAATCGCAAGGCAGGGCAGTGAAAATGGAAAAGAAAAGCGGGGAAACTGAAACTAAAACCAAAACCTAAACCGAACGAGCGATTCTTCTTATTGTTTCGCTGAAATTGATTGCATGGCTAGATTATTTTTATTGTTGAAATTGGAATTGTTTCTGTTTCTGCAGCTTTGCATTTTGCATACCGCGATAAAAAATTATTATTTTTAATTTCCCATATCACGGCTGCATGTGTGTGTGTATGCATCGACACGACTCCGACGGAGAAGGTGTGAGCCTGTGTGTGAGTGTGTGTGTGTGCAGGGTGGGTGAAAAAGGGGAGAGCGATAAAAAGGGGCTGCAAAATGCAGACGAAGCATAAAATAAACAACCGACGACGCGCTATCGATTTTTACGGCAAGCTGGAAGCAGAACTCTCTGATACAGACAGAATGCAAAAAAAAGTAAACGAAAATTGACGCCATGCAAAAAATAAGGAATTGCCAATCTAACAATCGAACTCATGGGAAAATGGAAAGAAACGAACGGTAGATAAGAGCCGGGTTTTTGTTTATTTACACAGGAACAGCACCAACACGCAGGCAAAAGCACACACATATGCCCACCACATATACACACTGTGCCGTTAGTTGTTGCCGTTTTTTGTTTTTCTCACGTTTTCGCGAAGTCTTCAATTGATAATCCTTACTTTTAAGATGCTGGCTTTTAAAATCGGTGGTTGGTTTCGTTTTTCAATTTTCCGATTTCCGTTTATCCGTGCCTTTTTCCCCCGCTTTTCGTCACTTTTCTTTTCCGTTTCTTTTCAGCTCGACGCGCAGACCGAATTCGTCGCTCTCCTCGCACCGCGCACTTTCCAAACTTTCCCGACTGCAACTGCACTCGAACTCGGGGGCGTGGGTGCACTCGCTGCGCCTCAAAAGTGCATCTTTTGCAGCCGAATCAGCGGAAAAATCTGCATTAAGTTAAGCCGCGTTTCCAATACACAAATACTGCCTATCGATTGTGCGCGCTATCGAGCGGACTATCGATAGGCGGCTGTGGCGTTGCCAGCGCGGGTTCTGGCTTTTAACGCCAAATCTAGCTATATTTCTATATAATATGTTTTTAAATGAGAAAAACTTTGTTTTGCGTTTATTGTTTCTATATGGCTGTAAAAATTATATTTCTGTTTTAAAATTCTTTCATTTTGTATGTTGCAGCTGAAGCAATAAAATCTTGGCGTGGCAAATGATGTGCTGCACCAGTTGCGAAAATAGTTCAATTGAATTCTTAAAGTTTCCAATAATTCTTTTTAAACGAAATTCTTTATTTTTTTCTACTTTTGTAATCTAAATAAAACTTTAAACCGTTTTAGTAAAAAGCTACTAATATTAAAGTTTTAATAGCTAATCTTTGTACCGTTATTATTGGTTGGCTTTAAAATAGGAGTGGCAACGCTGCAAGCTGGCAATCCGATAGTTTCTTGTTGTTTTTTTGTATAAACAAAGTCTACATTTGTTATTAATGTTAGAAAATAGATTCGTAAGCAAAATCAAAATTAAAAAGATAATATTTTAGTAACTAGCCAAGTGCTTTAACCAGAGATCCATTAACTACATGGTTCTTAAACGTACTTAAATACCTTTGACATGAGCATTAACTGGATAAAGATCACCGAAAGGTATGTGTTATAAACTAGTAAAACAGTTCTTATTAAATATCTGCATTGTTTTCATTTAATAGAGCCCGCGAGGGCATCAAAATCATCAATGCCCTGCCCTACGAGACCTTCAGCACGGTTTTGTGGTACACCCACCGGCAGATGAGTCCCAGTGGAGCGTCGGGAGCGGCGGCGAGTGCCGCCACTTGTACAGTGGGCACCAGTGTGACGACCACCGGGCGAACGGACAGCAGTACTGAGGAGAATCCCTCAAGCGGCACGGAGCCGGAGTACACGCTCGAGGAACTGGAGCGACTGGTGGGCGTTCCACGGGCGGACTTTCTGCTCCTGATCAAGACCTTCTCCTACATCCTGCGCCGCATCTCCACGTTCATCATCAAGCCTAGCCTGCTGCAACGTGAGCTGCGCGACAAACTCCAGCTGGAGGACGAGGCCAAGATCGATGCCATACTGCGGTTGTGGGTGCGCGAAACGACGCCCATTACGAACAATTTGGCCAGCAAGCGATACGAATCGAATGTCATCGAGGATGTGGCCTGGAAACTTAACTTGGAGGTCTCCTCGCACTGCCAGCAGCGGGAGAAGACTCCACTGGCCGTTCTCCAAATGAAAACGGGCGTCGGCGAGGATATTAACATCGAGATGACGCACCCGGAACTGGTGGAGCTGTTTAACCAGTTTGAGAACATCCAGGGCGAACTGGACGCCATGCTGGCCTTGAAGGCACCAGACGCCACAGCTGCAGGCAATCAGTAGTGGAACACCATCGACCATTTCCCAGTGCCAATCAATCTGCTAATCGGCATGATCCCTGTGCAAAAAGATGGACCTAAAAGTATGCAATACTAACACGATCGTAGCCAAATGTTAAACACTTTTTAAATTGAATTAGAACGATTTTTACCAGATTTTGGTTCATTTTTAGATCGTAGCCAAATGTTTAAAGAAGAATAGGTTCCGCTTGAAGTTGTAAATTATAAAGTCTTCATTATTAATATATTTTGAATGTTTTAGAGAGTTATCAATGAACTCACAAATAGGACTAGCAGAAAATATGTTTGTAGTACCAATCAATGATAATAATAATAAAAAAAACTATGAGATTTAAAAAATGTAATTTAGAAAGTCTTTTAACCTTGTGCAATTTTTTGATCACGATTTTTAAGATATTGGTTCTACTTACCCTTTGAAAAACCCTTAATAAATTTAGATAAAACAAACTGTCACACATTTTACAGTACACTTTAATGGATCTCTGCATGCGTTTTACTCGTCTGCTCCACCTCGGATCATAATTCTACTGATAAACATTACAAATTATTACAATGATATATATTTAATATATGTCTATATTGTATATGCATATGTTATTCGTCGGCCTTAGTATTTGTATAATGGAGTCGTATCTATATTATGTATGATGCATTATACAGACTTTCCAGTTTCATCTTCTATAGCTTTTGCAATATTTGAATTTATTTTTATTAAGGGGGGGAGAGGGGATTTTGGGTACTTTTCGTATTCAAATTAGAGGGGCTTCGTTGTATTTTCACTAATCTAGAAGCAAAACGATTTCTATTGCACTCTTTCACAGTTCGGTTAATCATTTCAACTAAGTTTGGACAAAATACAAATTTATGCAAATTATTTGGACTACAATTTTCATTTAAATTTATTGCTATTGTTACAGTTAGTTGTGGTGTGTAGGTGTTGTTTTCATTTTTGTTCTTGCTTTGGCACCGGCTTTGTTAATCAGCCCTTAACTTTGTTGTTAGTTAGTCTACAGTTTGCGTGGGATTCTGTTATTCATATTGGTTTTCGTGTAAATGATTATCGCCTTACGAAATGCGTTGGTCATTTGTTCCTGTTGTTTTATTTGTGCTGTCTGTTTGCCAGTGGCCCTTCCATATTCACTTTCTTTTCAAAAATAAATACAATTAAATAAATAAATATGCCAACCTTTCGTTGTGTTTATGATTTAGACTTGAGAAACTAATATAGACAGAACTTCTTTTAAAGATAAAAAGGTCTAGTTATATGAATATATACAGAAATGTAAGACATTTATTTATCAAATTTAGCTTGATGTTTCATAAAAAGTTTTGGATTCTATGGTTTTACCTTCTTTATAAGGTTGAAAGGTAACAAATTGTAAAAAGTAAGCGAAGATGGAAACACGACTGCTTTCCCTTTCTGTGTGTTTTTCGGGGTGTTTCATTTTTTAACATTAACATCGGTGTTTTAGATTACTCTTTGTTGATTGGATCGATCTCCTGCGCCCGCTGTTTTGGACCTATTTGAATGATAAGTGTAAGCGCCATGTTCAAATGATGAGAATGTCAAATGGGTCTTTGATTTTTAAATAAAACTTTATATAATTAAACAAAATTAATGTAGCACATACATACATACACAGTTCACGCTATGGTAAAAGTTACACAAAAAAATTAAACACAAACAGAAAAAAAATATATATACGAAAAACTAAAAATTGTACACTACATCTCCGACGGTTGCAGCCAAAAATGTTTTAACATTTCTTTAAAACTATGTAACTCAATTATTGCATTGTGTGTTTGTGTGAGTGTATGAGTGTGTGCGATTTATAGTTAGTTTAGTTTTAGTTTAGGTCTAATATTAGGTATATGTTTATCAAGTATTTATATATATAATAATATAAAAAAGTAAACATTTAGCGCTTTTAGTTTGCTACAAAAATTTGCTCGTCTCGCTCACATACATATTTCAACTAACATTAGGTGTACAAAAAAATTGGAAGATATATAGTTTATATCAAATTGTGGCTAGCGTAAAAATACAATCAGTATTCCAGTATTCAGTGTCGCCGGTTTTTAAGCGGCGATTGCGGTTACATTGTACGCCGATCCTTCGTTATCCTAGATATATGTATACATATATATATCTATATATAAAATGTATAAATTGATGCGTGTTCGTTCTGTTTGGCGAGATTGCTGCATTCCCATTCGATAGATCGGTGTAGAGTATATATATATATATCCAGTAGTATCCAGTGTAGTACACATAAATATCCAAGTATAATATCAAGCGTTGATCCTCCGCACTACCCGCACTTCGTCCCTTAAGTAAATAATAATGTAGTTGCCACATGATGGTTGGGTTGGGTTCCATTCGGTTGAGTTGAGTTGAATTGGTTGGTTTGGACTGGTTGCGATTGGCTGGAGTTTTGGGTTTTTCGGAATGGGCTTACATGCCCGACTCAGCAATGCCCTCGTCATCTGAAAGACATTCAAAAGGGCTCGGTTAGGATTTTTCGAACTGAGTGGCTTAAAAGCTGAGCACATGCAGGGTTAGAAAGGTAAAGGATCAAGGTAACATAAAACAATATAAGAATATACATAGGTAATCATGCAAACTCAATCAGGCAATATACAAAACATCTAAGGGATATGGTCACAGTGCGTTTCATGATGGTAAACATATTTTTAATATAATAACTGAAATGGTTTTTATAATTCTAGGGGTATATAAAGGTCTTGGACTACAAATAAAAATCGAAAATCATGAACTGCACTGCCCACCTCGGGGATTTGCGAAAGTGTCTACAAACCCATGAACGGATTGGCATAGATGATGCCGCCACCAGCCTCGGAACCAACACCATTGCCCAAAACACCACCACCGTTAACATTGATTCCCCCGCCGCCTCCGCCTCCGCCTCCGTTGCCAGCTCCTCCTGCTCCGCCGCCTACCAATCCGCCGACTCCACCGCCGGACAATCTGGAGGCCTTGCAGAGCTTCGTGGTGGCATAGTCGCCATCGCCCACCAGCGTGGCTATGTCATCGTCATCACCGTTCCGCGTATTGCAACTGCTGCCCAGCAGCTGATCGTAACAGCTAACATCCGTGCTGATCACATCCACCTCGATGTCATCGTCATCCTTCTCCAGGCTATTCCGATTGCTGCCCCCCAGCGAGGAGTGCAGCGCATGGGAATCCTCGTAGCTGCCGCCGCCGCTGTCATCGTTGGCATTGTTCGACTTGGTATCGATGTGCGTCTCGAACTCATCGTGCATGTACAGCTCCTCGTCCTCTTCCTCCTCCTCCTCCTCTTCCTCCTCGAGATCCTCCTCCAGTTCGTGGGCCACCAGCTCACCATCCTCTCCCACCTCCACACCGAGTTCCACTTCCAAAAGCGAACGACGTCGCGTGAAGACCTCATCGTCTTGATGACTGGATTGCTGATGGTTTTGTGGCAATATCATCACATCTTCCTCGGCGAAACTGAGTCGCACATTGGCACGACTGGCTCGATTGCTTCCCGGACCGGAGGCGGGACCGGATCCGGAAACTGCAGCACCATTATTTGCTGACGATCCTCCGTTGGATCCATTGATGTACTCATGGCTGAGACTGTTCTTGATATCACAGGACGATGAGCTGAAAGTGATCAGCTGGGACTTGCGTCTATGCTGGAGCGTATTGTAGCCATTGACGGCGGATATGGTGGTCATGGTGTGGCCTCCCTGGTGGGGCTGCTGCTGCGATTCAAGGACATCGATGTTGCCGCCCTTGCTGTCCTTGCAGATCATCGAGCTGGGCTTGTTGTCAACCAGGACGATAACCACCGAATTGTTGTTATCGCTCTGGTTGACAACCGAATGTCATCTGTCCGGCGCATCCACATTGTTGGTGCCTCCACCACCGCCACCTCCTCCTCCTCCGCCGCCAAAGGAGCTCATCGATGTGGTGGGCGGCATGTGATTGTGGTGGCCAGTGAAGCTACTGGTCAGCGGCTGCTGGTCATCATGGAGTATCGCCGCGTTTTCATCGTCAATGGCCTCCGCCTCGGCCTGCTGGAGATCATGATGCGATAGATGACCCTCGATGGTGGCCACCACATCACCATTCTCATCCAGCTGCACTTGTTGGCCTGTGTGCGTTTGCATTGGCATTTGCATTGTTTGGAGGGAAATGAAGGAAAATGATTTTGCTCATAGTTAGTCACCCATCACCAGTATGAAAATCGAAACATAAAGCTTAAGTCTAGTAAGGATCAACTAAAGAAAACACAGCTGGCTGCAAGTCCCACAATGTCCTGGGGTTATCTGTCTTGTTTTTTTTCTCACTTTTTTTGGTTAGTCAGTGTGCGAGCGAACGTTTGCTGGCTGGGGAATAAAAGATGCCCCTATCCAAAGACCTACCTTCATAGCCCTCGTTGTCGTGCATCTCGCGGGCGGGACCCACGATGTTCTCCTTGCCCTCGAGCACCGCCAGCAGGCACTGGTGGATGCAGATGTACTGCTGCTCCGTCTGCACCATCCAAACGCGCTCTAAAATGGGGTAATATACCAGAATTAGTGGTGGATCAAAAAAATAAATTAAAAAACTAGCTGTAAACGGTACAGCGGTACAATTTTTAAAATATCTATCAACTATCGAATTAAATTAAGTTTTATTTTAAATATTTGTATAATTTTCTTGCTTTAAAAATATTTTTAACCAGCATATAGATAGATAACCCTATATGCTTTTAGTTTCAAAAAGAATAATGAAGCTGCTGTATCGTTTACAACCAATTCTTTTTTAGAAATATTCACCCTTGCGCATGGCATACACAATGCCGAAAATATCCACGTAGTCCGACGTGTTGATCTGCTGCAGGATGCGATCCAGGGTGATGAAGGTGCCCGACCTTCCCACTCCGGCGCTGCAGTGCACCACAATGGGTCGCTGCTCCGCCCCGATGCGATCGCGGAAGGCGCGCACAAAGCGCACCAGTGTCTGGGGAGGATTGGGTACCCCAAAGTCCGGCCAGGTGGTGAAGTGGAAGTGCCGCAGGATGCGCTGTTCGCTGCCCTAAAGATCGGGAATCATCGGATTTAGGGAAGCGAAACGGAATACTCTCAAAGGATCACCTACCCTGCACAGCATAAACTCGGTCATCACCCAGTCGGCATAGTGGCTATCGTTGAGGATCTGCACCTTAATGTCCCCATAGAAGACGGGCACCGTGTCATTGGGCCAGTATTGGTCGCACTTTTCACGTCCCTTCTCAAAGCACCTGGTCAACATGACTATGGCCCGCGAGTTGCTCTCCCAGCACATCCGCCAGAAG